GTTCAAAACCAAAAAGATTAGACCCTTGGTTTCCAGTCTCATCCAAAGCACAGTGTTCCTACTTTGGCACAGAGACTCAGCAATGACCCCAAAATAAACAGTAAAGCTTCCACCCCTTTAAACATACTATGTCTATGATATATCTCAAATAGAAAGTATGGGAAGGCAGTGTGTTCAACTAAGCAAAACAAAGGCCAAAGTGCAGGACCTTCTTGGATCTCTTCCTTGCCCTGAAGCTGAATTACTGAATGATGGTGAAGACTTCACCTCTGTGCACCTCAGTTTCTAAAGCTATAAAATGGGAATGAGGGTGGTGAGGCACTGGAACAGGTTGCCCAGAGAAGCTGTGGATATCCCCCTGGAAGTGTTCAAGGCCAGGTTGGATGGAGCTCTGAGCAACCGGTCTAGTGGAAGATGTCCCTGCCCATGGCAGGGGGGTTGGAACTAGGTGATCTATAAGATCCCTTCCAAACCTTACCATTCTATGATTCTGTGAATAACAAGTTAATCTACTGCTTATATAGCCAGGACACATGCATATTTGTAAACGTTTTGAAGGTACTCAGATTAAATTAAACCTAAAAAAAGCAGCTTCCTTTATTATTTATACATTAATATATTTAGTTTGATTTCAAAGTAGACACTAACTTTATAATTAGAAATCCTGGCCTCTACTTAATAATAATGCCATGGATAATGCTACTTACATAGCAGTTTTAAACTACAGGCCTCAAAGCATTTTATCTAAGACAATATTGTTGTATTCATTTTACAGACACAGGAACTGAGGCACAGGAAGAAATGAGTTGCTCCCATTCAGCAGGCAGAAGTTACATCTGGTCAGTGTCCTAGCTACAAGAACTATCTGCCCAAGAAAAATAATTGAAACATTGGGGTTTTTTAGTGCTCATTAATTTTTCTTTATTTCCCAAGACAACCTATGTGTACTTCAGTGTGTTCAGGTACCAGTATAGCAAAACAAGTAGGAACTCAGAGTAGACAGTTAGGTGACTAAAGATCAGTCATTTAAGCTTGTACTAGTCACCTTGTAATTGCTTCATACTGAGTGGAGGAAAAAAGGGTACTTCTGGAGGGATGGTTTAGTTCAAAATAAATGTCTAATGCAGGGTAGGTGGAGGTGCTTGTTTCTTTTCACTGATTCTGAAGGAAACACAGAGTGACTGAGCTCAGACTTGCACAAGTGGCTCTCAAACACTTTAAGTTACGAGAGTGGTCCTTGCAAACTCACAGGACAAAGGGAAAAATCGTCTTTAAATTGCTACTGCTTTCTAGTCCATATACATGTAGCTACTTTTTCTCCAACTTTATACTTTTTTATGTTATTTGGGAGAAAACTTTCCAGTCAGGTGTTCATTTAATCAGCTGCCTTCTTAGCTGTTTATTTATTATCAGCCAATGTGACAAAAAATTTGCCAGACGTATCAGAGATGCATCTGCCTTGACAAGCCTAGATTTGCAAGGAGTTCGTTTCCATACACCTTGCACACTGCCCACCGCTGTTACCATTCCACAGCGCAGCAGCTAGGATCAGCTGCAGCCTCTTACCAGCACCGAGGGATGCTCAGCAGTACTCATGGCAGAGTGACCACAATTCAGTCTCGTCATTCGTCGGACAAAAATCACCATTAGCTCATTTTCAGGTCACGCTGACAAATATACCTTTCCACTCAAACTTTACTAAATGTTGAGGACACGCAAAAAAGGATTTTTATCTTATGGAATATTTCATTCGTTGAGAGGTGCAGCATCTTACATTCTGTACAATATTTAGAATATTTAATTTTTATTCTGTTTTCCTCCTAAGTCCTGAGTTTGCTGAGTTTCATTACATAAAGGCATTATGACAAGTACATAAGCATTCACTTAACAAAAACAAAACAAAACCCAAAAAACCAAAACCAACATCAATTTTCGAAGTTGCATGTACTTCAAAAATTTCCATTCCTAGGGACAGATTCCCTCTATTTCCAATACATATTGCTTCGATGACAATGTCATTTTCAATTATAATAATTTTCTGGTGTTGACAGAGGAAAGAAAGCAGCAGCCATACGTCATATTTGTGTGGCATTACGCCAGCTACATCTCAGGAGAGCTAAATCCAATTCTCAATTTACCACACATAAACACTAAGGAAGACAACTCCAATGTCCTTCACCCAGCCCTCCCACTTACACATGCAAAACAAAACAAACACACAAAGAGTTGCAAGGACAAAAGCCAAGACTTGCTTCTGTACTGAAACGCGCCCCCTACATGGAAAGGACCAGCAAATACAGAACCTGATGCTGTAGGCGGTTAAGTGCCTCAGCTTTACTGCAACCAATTAAAAGCGAATAGCCATAAAAGTGCAGATACTACTGTAGGGTAATAAACCAGACTTTATCAGTGACAGTGGTGCACATTACAAACTTCAAACTCATTCCTTGCTCTAATCCATCAGAAACTTCCTGGCTTTAACAGGCTATAAACAGCAGAAGCTTTGAAGTCCAAGGATTAGGATCACTAATAGACAGACTGAACGAGAGACTGGCTGAAGAGCCAAGTGGAATGCCCTGCATGGATCTGGAATAAAACAAGTTAATTTAATCAAACTGACCTCTCTCTAGCCACAGGCCAAGAGATTACAATGGTTATAACAGCAATAAAGGGACAAGGGATACTAGAAACAAATAGTTATTTGCTTCAGTGCAGTGCTTAGGCTAATGTAAGGGGAAAACTGCTTATGCTTTTAACTGTGCTCTCAAATCCACAATTATAAGCTCTGCAGGCAAAGGTGCTTTTTTTTTTTTAACTAGCTTATGACTTAGTGGTAATGGAGGCAGAAAAAGATTAAACACATTTTAATTTTCAAGAATTTCTAAATGAAAGGTTAATAGAAAGATTTAACAAAAAAGATCGTTCTAGTGATTTATTTGCTTTGAATCTCCTGTATCTCAGAGTCACTCACAGCAAATGAGGAATCAATCCATTTGCGTTAAATCCACATGCATTCAGTGCTCACAGAACTGAATATAACACTAAGCATTTTTGTTTCTAGAAAAAAAAACTTCTTACTGTAAAAAATTCCAGTTATCATCAATTTATACACAACACTTCCCACTCTAAAGGACGACAAAACATTTAACAAACCACTAAACTTGAGGTGTTTAGCACAGCAGTATTACAGAACCCTTTTTCAACCAAAAAGGCAAATGAGCCAAGTGAATGGTAGCAACAGCTTGGCTCTGAGAAGTTGTTAGAAGATGGTAAATTGAGACAAGTGGCCAGGGATTAATTTTTACATTGTATCTTGCTGCTATGCAGAATAGCTAACTTTGAGGACCGGAAAACAGCAGCAGCTGAAGCCTCTGAAAAGAGAATTATAAAGCAAGGAGTCCTAACAACACGCTTCATTCACTACAGAAGACAGAATAATCCACAAGATTCTGTACCACCAAACAGCATTTTTTTGAACATGTATTCCTAGAAGGCAACATTTCTTCTCCCACAAAATCACCATATTTTCAGATGAGAATGACAGATTCAGATGTACAGCATATAGCAAACAAACTCATTTACAGCTACTATATCTACAGTATTTAAGCAAGAGTGAGGAGACTTTAATTGCCCAAAACAATGCTCAGGATTTTAGTATTAGTGTTTGGAACTTGGAAGCAGCTCATCCTAGGAAGCAAAAAGCCATGGAAATAAAATGAGCAGCACTGGAGTGGCTGTCTGGCACTGGAGGGATTACCACAGGCCAAGCCTAGCTACCTCCCTTTACATGGGGCAATGTCTCCTGGCTCTCCCATTTACTCCATGGCAATTTCATAAAGGAATTCACCAATGCCAGGAACTATGCTTCCAGCTGAGGGCCTGGGAGAAGAGTAAGAGCAGCACGGTCTCAGGATGCAGACAGCCCGGGGCTGGGAAAAACAGAGCAGCCACAGCACATGCAGTGGTGTTATATGGAAGAACGCAGAGAAACACGGGATTAGGATCTTGGGGTTTGAAAACGTGGGCAGCAAGCTGTAAGGACTGGGCAGCCTGAGACTGAGGTCCTGGCATGAGGGAATATAGTATGGCAGCATGCCAGCCCAGCAGATATCCATGCCAGCAAAGCACACCTCAGCTGCTGAAAATTAAACAAATTCATCAAGAGATACAGCACTGAGTTCAAATCCGGAGTCATTAACAGACTTTCAAAACCAAATCTTCTTCCAACAATCTACACATTTAAATCATTTAGGAAAAGGTCTGTGAACGTGTCCACATTTTACAATAACCATGAATTTAAAAAATTTAAAATATTATGCAGACTTCACCAGACTCACTCATAAACACTATAAAGACCAACACAGTATGTATAGTTACGTTGGAAACAGAAGCATTTAAAAAAAGGCACATATGTCTCGTCTTACTGGGCTAGCAGTAGCATTTTCACAGGATATTCTCGTGCTGTGGGAACTTCTTGTCAAACACCCAAAATGTCCTAAGTGTTCATTTCATCAGTCAAAATATTCACTTAGTTTATAGCTCCAAGCATTCAAACTACTTTGCTGCTTTGAACCACATTTGCCCTAGAAAACAATCTAGCAGAAGCAGTATTCACTGCGATGAGAGAGTGTCTACAGAGAAACAAAACCAAGCATTGACAAATCAAAGACAGGTCTCCCCTTACGACTCCCCGAAATAAAGTTAAGGACAGAAACGTTTCTGTAACTATTGCATCTGTTACCTTTGATTCAGAAGGTAGCAGCACAACCATTAGTATGCTTTTTTCTTTCTATCCACTTCAGCTTTTCTCATTTCACTTTCAAAAATTTTGCCACAAAAAAAAAAAAAAAAAATCTAAATTTGTTATTTTGAAAGTAACCATGAAATAATTTTTAAAGACATACTAATGAAGCAGAAGAGAGGTCCTTCTGTAACAGGTGCAAGCAGGCATGCTACCCCCAGTTTCACCCTCCTCCACTACACCTACCATGGGGTCTTACCTTCTGGTGGATTCTTATTCTGGTTGTTCCAGACAACTAACAACTTTGATAGACTAGGCACTTTAGACACCTCTGTGATGACTCGGAAAAGGCTCTCCACCCGGTCATAGGTTAGAACTATGGCTGTGAAGCCTTGGGACTGAGGTGGGATCAGTGGAAGGAAGAGTGGGTTGCTCACACTGCTCCATTTCTGTGAAGGAAAACAAGAAAACAGGAAAACAATTTGATTAAAGTGACTTATCACAGCAGGGAGTAATTCACGTACCCAGGGCCTAACCATCAGGTTTGGAATTTGCTCAGATCAGGCAGGTTGACTCTCCAATTCTAGCAACAGGGGACTTCAGCAATTTCTCAAAACCTTTATTCCAATCTCCTCCTTAATTCAGTTTTCATTTTTGCCTAGCTGTAACGTTGCAAACAAGAGGGGGTTTAGGCAAAAAATAAAGTGGAAGAGGCAGATAGATTTGTGAAGCAGGAAAACCACGGTGAACTTTGAATCCAGCTAGCATGACTCAACCCTCATTTACTAATCACTATTTCAAGACATTTATATTTATAGTCAGGACTCCATAAACAAAGAGAAACTTAACCAGCACTACAATTTCAGAAGCAAAAAAGAGCTAACAACAACAAAACCAAAGCAGCAAGAACACAAACCTGGCATAAAACATGTACCCAAGCAAAAAAAGGCAAAAGCAGGCAATAAGAAGAATAATGTACTAGCTTCCACAAAACCATGTATGTTCAATAGTGAAAAAACACCTACTGCACTTAAAAAAAATAAAGAGGCACAAGATGCAAAGATGAATTTCAGAGAGTTACCTACTCATTCTGAATTTTAACTAGGGCATCCCTTTCAAGACTTAAAAGGTCTTACTTCAATATGCTGCCAGCATAAGGAAGCCAGCTCAGCTGGCAATAGGCAGGACAGACAACTAAATTCTCACTGAATGTGCCAACCTCCTTTGGAGCTGACAACGTGGGGGATGAAGCAGTGAAGAGACCATTCGACAGGAATGAAAGTGCCGGCATTTCAGTCTCAACTTTTCCATTCCAGCTGACGTTCCAAGCAGGGGTCGGACAGAGAAGCAAAGGGAAAAACAAGACATTTTGGGATGAGGTGAAAAGGGGAGTTGGGAAAGCAGAAACTGAGTGATGCTGTTTTGCCGAGAAGGCTTGAATTCCAGCCTGTAAAAACCACGAACACTCATATGAGGTTAGTAACTGTCAGCAGTTTACAGAAATACCGAGAGAATCTCCAGCTAAACTCGTACCATAAGCCTGCTAGTATCAGGAGGAAAAGAAGTTTTACAGACTCAAAGTTATCAGCTCATATTTGCAGGAAATAAACTTTGCAATTTTCTGTTCCTTATTTAGTCTTTGGGTTACTTTATACACCAATCAATCACCCTCCTCATGGGAGGATAAATATATGAGGTGAAAAACAGACACTTAAAGTTAAGCACAGTACTGGCTGCTCCAATAGTCAGAAGGATGAACTAGTCTTCAGCTACACATACTTTATCTAATCTGGTATAAGTAGCATTCAACATAAACTGTTTGTGAGGTTCCTAATGGAATGCATGAAGGTCTAGTTTTTACCCAACAGGAGTAACAGGATAATGTAGAAATAGTAACAGCGTAATACAGAACTTCAGTTTATGAAAGGGACATGGTTACCTGCGATAGCAGAGGACTACACTCAGAGATTCAGAAAATACATAACCCTTACTTAGCAACTGATATGTGCAGAGACAAATCTGCTTTCAGAATATCACATTTTCTAAAATTCAAGCTTTTACACATACTTTTGCTAATTTTACAAGACAACTGGTGGCAGATGAGGACAGCCCTCTGATTTTGCCGCAGCTTCAATAATTCCTACAGCAAATCACAATCTAAATGCTACCAGAGCATAATCCACCTCATTAAAGCTTTACAGACTTGCTTCCACACAAGCCCCACCCCAAGACTGCTACCACACAAATGACCCTTGTAATGTTGCGCAGCTTCTTAAAAGAACTTTCAGAAACCTCTTTTCATTAATACTTGAAGCAGAGGTTTAACACAATACTCAGCAGAGTATCAAGACAATCTCATGTTTCCGCCCTGCGAGAAGAAATAACTGGTAATCAATGGGCAATGCTGTATTTACTACCTATGGATGAGTATCACCACCTAAATTAATGGGTCCCACTTGAAGTTTATCTAGCAACTTTTTCTCTCTATCCACAGTACTTCCTAATAAATTACTTGCCATAATATCCTTGGAAAAGGATTATCACTTTTCTATCATTTAAGAGTATTTTAGGTACTTACTGAAAAAAATACAGATGTACTTCTGCCAGCACACGTGCCTAAAAAATTATCACGCTTTCTCTTAAAAACCTAAGTTTTAGGTACATAACTTAAATTCCAACTTTTACGACTTTTAGAAAAGCATGAAAATTCTCCCATTGGTTATAACTTAGGAAAAATTAGACAACTTTTGAGGTGGTTTTGCTCATGTATCTACCAAAGGATGGTGGAGGGAGGGAAAAGCCTGTAGACATTAATGGATGGGAGAATCAAGCCCCTCATTTGAGAAAAACATTTCAAAAAGGCAATTAAGCATCTCTCAAGTGCCATTAAGAGCCAACCCCCTGCTGCCTGCCTGAAGAGTGTGTCTACAGTCTGAGACCTATTGACCCCACTTTCTGCAGGAAATCGGGCAAATTCAAGCCTCCATAATTTGCTAAAGTCTTCCAGATTTCTGCCTGGGAAAAGCAAACCATACAGGCAATTAATTCAACAGCAACATAATTAAATCTCCATTATGGCAGCAAAGCATGAAACGGGTAATGACACAGGGATGGATTCTCCCAGTCACTGCTCAAGAAACCAAGTGGTGAAGGAACATTAGCTCCAGTCTCATCTTTATAAACATTCTTGATGGAAACTCACAGTAACTTTCACTTTCAGAAAGACGGGCAAACAGTAACAGTGGACTGATCATCCATCACCTTGCCTTGACAAAGTGCTGACACTCAGCTATGGATAAGACAGCACTTCACTCTTGCCCTCCCAGCTAATATCATTAGAGGAGCCAGGATAATTAATCTAAGATTAACAGGTGGTTTGCTGTGAATCATTTTTATGGGCAAAAAGAATCAAGTTCAAATGCCAGTTTCCTAAGAGTAATCTCACGTCGCTTAAGTCTCGAAGTATCAGTTGTCTGGCAGCTCTTTGCCAATTCACATGAAAAGCCAAAGTAGTAAGACCTGAATGTCATTGAGAACTTGGGGATAGCCTGAAGCCGGGGAGAGGGGAGAATTCAGGAATGGGTATGTATACAGTTAAGGACTCAGACTGCTGCAGCTGTCCCGTGCGTGCTTTCCATAACTGTGCATGTGCAATAATGCCTTAGAAATAAGGCACCTTCCTTTACAATAGATACATCAAATATTGCTCTCCCTCTTGGTTATTAAAAACAACTTGCTTCTATTTTAGGAAAAGTTAATAAATTAAGGACAAGGTATCAAGGAAGTTGAATTCTCATTATGCAGGATGCTTAAGGTTGGACTCAATGTGGAGTCTTCAGGTTCAAGGTAGCAGGGAAGTTTTAAACAGACTGTTCTTAGCAGGGTACAGAAGTGAGATAGATGGGAGCTTCAGGACGTCAGTGAAGACAACTGGACTGAGAACTGGCCAATCATTACAAATACTACAGAGCCTCAAAGGTACTGGCAAAATACCAGACACAATTAAGGCAGGGTCCTACCCCAAAACTTCTTATCCAGGTGTACAGAGTACCACTGAAAGAGACTTGAAGAAAGACACAGCAGACACCTTACAAACTGCATCACAGAACGGTCTCTAGGAAAACAAGGCTGTGTAACATGTCCCATATTACAGAATAGAGTGAAGAAGTTCCCAGCTATCATTCAGTGGGAAAACTCAGCAACATCACTGCAGAAGAATAAAATTTAACTGCTCCCACGAACAAGACAGCGGGCTTTCCTCCCAGTGTATTTTATTTTCAACAACTAGACTCAGTGCTTGTTGTAACCAACATATTAGTGAAACCACACAGTCTGAACAACAACAACTCACTGACTTTTAAAAGCACAGAGGTAAGGAAAACAGTGTGTTGAACTTAAACAGCAGCTAAGCAGTTCTTCGACACGTCTAAGCAAAGCAGGGATATACATCCCCTGCCTCTGTGGATAAGGCTTTTTCAGCTGGGTTGTTCTGAATATTAGTCTAACCTCAATATGGTTTCAATTATGAATTACCAGACAAAAAAAAAAAACACAAACTTGATTTATTCTATTTTTCTCCAATTATTCATGATAAGTTTTTATTGAATGCTTTGAGAAAGTATTTCATCATGCTTCCCATCCCCAACTGGTCATAGGGCAAAATCAAAGGAATGAACCCTCTCTACTTCTCCAGAGGCAACCACAGCACTTACACTCTGCAGAATCACAAGCCATTTCATGTTTAGGTGAAGATTATAAGCCCTCCTCAAAAACATTTTAGCCACAAGACACACACGACTTTCTACCTGTTCCTTCCTGAGTGATGAAATCTGATATTGTCATGAATCATGAATTTTGATTGCCAAAATGCATCACGTAACACTCAGATGTTCAGCATCATTTTTTTGTTTAGCCACTTAAATCTAATCAGCCATCTGAGCCGTTCTGACAGAATCTACTGGTTGAACACATTCTTTGATGTAAAAACTCAGCTTCAGGCTCATCTCTTCAACTCCTTAATTTCAATAATGTGTCAAAGGAATAGATATGCAGTGAGAACAGGAGAATTATCAATAACTGAGTTCATATTTATAGTTGTCATAATAATTATGCTTTTTGGAATCCCTCCATCAATTTTATTGCCAGTCTTTTGTAAGAATAAGAATAATAAGAATATTATAATATTATAACATTATAACTTTAATAAGAATATTCAAACAATTGGAAAGAGAACCAGGAAAAAGATTCATGTTTTTCTGTAGTGTTGTTTTTTTTTTCCACCACCCCGCTGTAAGTCTACGTAGCAGCACCTGACCCAAAAAACCCACATTATGACAATCTGAATGGGGAAAATGGAGCTTAACATACCTTAGATGCTCCCAAATCCAGAAATGATAGGGACTACGGAAACGATGACTTGTGGAATCCAAAGCAACAAAGTCCCATGGCT